CGGGGCCGGGCGGCGTTCGGGAGGCGGTGCGGCCGCGGCACCGCCCGCCCGCCGAGCACAAAGGATGACCGCGGGTTACCCCGCTGCGGCAGCCACGCTCCCGGCTCGCCGCGCCTCCGAGGGGCCGTCGCCCCCGGCCCCGGGAGCCCCGAGCCGGGACAGGTCGCGACAGCCCGGGACAGCCCAGCACAGCCCAGCACAGCCCCGCACAGCCCCGCACAGCACAGCACAGCACGGCGCGCCTCTGCCGCAGGCGGCGCGGCCGCTTCGCGTTCCGCACCCGCTGCCGGTGCCGGTGCCGGTGCCGGTGCCGTGCGGTGGCTCCCGGCTCCTCCCGAGGTACTCACCGCGCCGAGCTCCGCCAGCGCCGCCGTCCCTGCGCGGCTCAGTGCTGAGCCCTCGCTGTCAGCCCAAGCCGCGGCGCTGCTCCGCGCCCCGGACCCGAGGGGCTCTGCGGGCTCTGGTGTCCACCTGCGCCCGGCTCCGCTCAGCGCCCGCGACAGCTCAGCCTCGCCCCTGCTCGCCGCCCCGGCGCTTATTTTCCACAGGAGTGCGGCATCTGTCTGGGGCCCCCTGTCCCCCAGGCAGCTCGTCCTCTGCACCGCCTTGTCTCCATTCCCTGCAATTTCAAATCTCCACGCTCTTTCATTCCTGCGATACCGGCTAATTCTGGTTTGGCAGAGCAGATTTGCAATCCTCTCACATGCACACTCTTGTGGCTGAATGAAGTTTATTGCTGCACAGGTTATGGCCGGAAATTTACATTCCAGAGAGTTGGAGGATATAATCCAATAAAAGCAGCCGGTATCAAGGTTTTGACGGTCGTTGAATTACGTTTATTTCAGAGTGGCTGATTGAATTTATGTAGCCAAACCACCCTAACAATACAGTTCGGGAAGTTCTGTTATATGGTACTTTATTTGCTGAATAAATAAGTTTCAAAAATATTCCACCCTTKGGAGAAGAGCTGCAAAAATACATTACTTTTTCAGACCAGTATCCACTCCTCGGTTGTATTTTTCTAAATAACCAGGCTAATGAGTTTTATATTCTGCAATTTGTTGCTGCTTGCAGTGAATATACCCAGGCTAAGGTGACTCTATGCCACCACACATAACTTTCATCGTCAGAGATGCTTGATGTCGTAGAAGTATAAATGAAAGCTATTTAAGAAGTAATAAGAAATAYCTTGAGAAAA